TCTTGGAGGGTAGTGGGGAGAGCTCTCATTAGTATGACTTTTGGAGTTTTTTTACTACCGGGCTCCTCCTAGACGGTATCACAGACTCAACGGTGGTTCTCATCCCCAAATTCGAGCACCCAGAGATGGCCTCCCAACTCCGACCTATCTCTCTAAACAATGTGTGTCTCAAAGCTATCACGAAGGCCATCACCAATCGGCTGAAGCCTATCATGAAAAAGTTGGTTTCTCCGCGCCAGAGCAGTTTTATACCGGGGATACAACTAACAGATAACATTATTGTTTTGCAGGAGGTGTTGCATTCTCTTAGGAAAAAGAAAGGGAAGAAGGGTGGAATAGTGATGAAGATTGACATGGAGAAAGCTTACGACCGACTTCGATGGGAGTTTCTGAGGGATACTCTCAAGGAAATCGGTCTCCCCAGTTCCTAGATTAGTTGCATTATGCATTGCGTGGAAAACAACAAGATGCGGCTGCTGTGGAATGGAGATCTCTCTCAAACCATCACTCCGACCAGGGGAGTCCGACAGGGAGATCCCCTCTTCCTCTATCTCTTTGTTTTGTGTATGGAGAGACTTTCTCACAGGATTGATCGGGCTATCCAAGAAAAGCAGTGGAAACCACTCAAACTTTCCAAGGATGGCCCGACCCTTTCTCATCTTTTCTTTGCAGATGATTTAGTTCTGTTTGCAGAATCAGACGCTTCTCAAATAAGGATCATAACATAATGCCTTAATGAGTTATGCAGCAGCTCGAGTCAAAGAGTGAACTAGCACAAATCCGACATGTTCGTCTCCGCCAACATTCCTAGACGCCGTGCAATGGCCCTTAGTGAGCGGATGGAGATCCCCTCACAGTGGATCCGAGAAGATATCTGGGGGTCATGGCCATCCATGGAGGTGTTACGCGGGGCACCTCTCCAATTTATCCTATGCAGGTGGAACTTCTTCCGAAGACTGTTTGCAGGACCCTTGACCAAATCAATCGTGGTTTCATATGGGGAGACTCGGAAGAGAAGAAGAAGTTGCATCTTGTCGGATGGGCACAATTGATCCAACCAAAAGACAAGGGAGGTCTTGGGATCCGTCCCGCCAGAGAAGTTAACATGGCTATGCTGGCCAAGTGTGGTTGGCGTCTCATGACCGAAAAGCATACTCTATGGGCTCAACTGATGAGGGACAAGTATGGGAAAGATAGGGCTCACCTGGATCTCATCAAACCTATATAGGGAAGTTCCTTCACCTGGAACAGCATCTCCAAAACTGGAAGCTTGCTGAAAAGCGGCTGCGCATGGAATATTCATAAGGGAACTCTGACCCGTTTCAGGTCTGATGTTTGGATTGATCGGGTACCCTTGGAGGATCTAGCCACTGGTCCGATTCCGGAGGATGATAGGAATCCCAAGATCTCTGCTTTCGTGGACGAGGAAGGAACATGGTGTACCGAGAAGTTCAGCAATATTCTACCGACCGAGATTATACACCGCATTACAGCTGTTGTAGTGGACCCGCTTGCGCCAAATGACGATGTTCTGTTTTGGCATCCCACCTCAGATGGCCGTTTTTCAACCAAGAGTGCCTTCCACCTCCTTCAGATAGCGACTCCCAGCGAGCAGTCCAATGTTTGGAAAGAGATTTGGAAGCTGGAGGTTCCGGAACGTGTTCGCTGTTTTATGTGGCTTGTCGCCCACAACAGGATCAGCTCTAATGAGCAGCGAGCTAAGCGACACCTCTCAGCCACTGCTTCCTGCTACAAGTGCGAGACTTAGGTGGAAACTACCTTGCATATTCTCAGAGACTGTCCTCCAGCCGCCTTTGTCTGGGCGCGCACAGTTCCAATCGACCAACAACACGTCTTCTTCAGTATGCAGTTGGATCAATGGCTCGCCACCAATCTGCAGAAAACGGATAGGTATGTGGAGGATACCCCTTGGAATGCCTTTTTCAGTATTGCCATCTGGAATCTTTGGAAAAACAGGAATGAAGGCGCTTTCAGAGGGGCCGAGAAGACGTTGTCGCCATCGTCTCTTGTACAAGCTATAAGGATCAAAGCCAGCCTTTGGTACAAGGCGTGGATGGCGCCGAGGGACAACTTGGGTCGCAGACCCACTCCGGCACAGCATGTGACCAAGGATATCAGCTGGACCCCTCCCCCGTTGGGTTGGAACAAGCTTAATGTGGATGGAGTTGCTAATGGAGTTCATGATCCTGCGGCAGCTGGCGGTATCTTGAGAGATAACCAGGGGAGATGGGAACGAGCTTGTTGCCAATTTGGGGACTTGCTCGGCGATTCAAGCAGAGCTTTGGGGGATTTATCATGGGCTCGGTTTGGCTTGGCAGAGCGGCAACAGAACTCTTATTGTTGAGACGGATTCCCAACTTGCTCTCCAACTCATCGAGAAGAGGACTGACCGTCTTCATCCTCTCGCGACTCTTTTGACGGCAATAAGACGGAGACTTGTCCAAGATTGGGTGGTGCGTCTTTGTCATACTTACCGGGAAGGGAATAGAGTCGCGGACTGGCTCTCGAAGCACAGTCTCCTCTATTCCTATGGTAAGTAGGATTTAGACACGCCTCCTCTAGCCCTTCAAGCCATCATTGGTGATGATATCAGGGGCCAATCTTTCCCCATGAATGTTGTTGAGCCTCCACCCCGCAGATCTCTCCTCCCAAACCATCCAGCCACCATGTGGGTCCCTCCACCAGATGACTATTTGAAGATCAATTTCGACGCTGCTGTTTGTGCAACCGGGTGTTCGTCTGGGCTTGTTGTCCGTGTGTCAGACGGGCATGTGGTGTTGGCATTTGGGTTGCGACATCAGGGAATAGTCAGCCCCTACCTGGCAGAGCTCCTAGCCATTAGAGACGCTATCTACATCGTTTCCTCAAGATCATTGACTCACGTGATAGTCGAAGGTAATTCCGAAGTGGTCGTCAATCAGGTCCGACATGCGCCATAGAAGACTCGATTGGTGGTCCGGTGCTCTGGGAGTGTCGTCATATCCTAGACTCCTTGTCAGTTTGTATAGAGTTTAGGGCGGTGCCTAGAGCTGGCAATAGTGCTGCCCATAGAGTGGTGTGTAAAGCACTACTTTTATCTCATCTAGAGCTAGAATCTTTCAATTTTTTGGGGTGGCTTCGTTTGATTTTTATTTTAAGGGGTCTTGGGTAGTTTTGTTTGTATAACTCTTATTTTCTCTTGATATCACTCGGAAATAATAAAAATAAGACCTTTTTGATTTGCATATGCAATTGCATTTGTTGCAAGCTTGCAAATATGCAATTGGTACCACATTAATGTAATTGATTTTGCAATTGCAAGCACTCATGTCATGTCATCTTGCAATTGAGAAAGCAATACCAATGTGGACGCTCTAACCACTCATAAGAAGAGTTGCCTCCCTTCGTACGCACCCATTCATTCTCTATAAATAGCACTTAACCCCTCTAGTTTTTACATAGATTTTCTCATACAAAAACTCTGCCAAAAATCCAAACTGGTTTACATGATTTTTCGTGATCTTACAAGATACTTGTTTTGCAAGATATAGTATATGTGAACAATTTTCCATAACACTCGAAAGAGGGAGTCTTCAGGCAAAGGCGGAAAGAAGATATCATTGGGGCATATTGGAGTTGCGACCGGCCGAGGATGAGCAGAGTTCGAAGGGTAATCGTTCGAGGTCAGCTGTCATCGAATTCTCTATGGAGGAAGGAGAACTGAGTTGTCGGATGGATTCAACAGTCGCTATAGGAGGAAGGAGGTCGAAGGCTGTAAGCAAAGAGTTTCGTGTGTTTGAATAGGACGGGGATAAGAGGTAGACTATATGTTTAGTTCTGAGGTTTTTGGAAAAATTGGGGATAAATTCTAGATGTCTATAAATACGTTTACGTTAAAATTGGAAAAACAAATAAATTACAGTGAAATGAAAAACTTGTTTACTAATAACTGAAGTTTCACAAGTTCAAACCATATAGACCATCACCTACTTCTTCATAATTTTTCTCCAAATTTTAGGGGGTGTTCCGGCAAACGCTTTTGGGTTCGCCCATGTACTTGTCCCTTCCTCGAACCATAGATCCCTAGAATTTTGCCGCCATGAGACTTCTTCCTTTTTTTAAATCACATTTAGGTAGGCTTCCTTGCAATCCTAATAATATGAATCATTTAGGCGTGTTATTCGTGTTTATGGCAATATAAGTGTAATTATTGATTTAATGAGTGTTTATAGCAATATACTTGTATAAATTTTTTAGTAATATAATGATGTGGGCATTTGGAGGAATTACTCACCGCTATTTTCTGTGAACTCATGAGTACCTATGTTAGTCTTTGAGATCATTGGATTGAGTTAGGAATGATAATGGACGAATTAGGGGTGGATAGAGACTATCGATTACTCCATCCTAACAAGTTCTGGTTTTATCCATATCAATACTCATGTAAGATTTAGATAGTGAATTAAAATCATTCTTATACTTAATCGGGTTTCGGGTATACATGAATATCCACAGATACTAATTTTCCTTTATGTTCTTAACTATTGTGTTACAAATCACAAATACGTTAACATTACAAAAAATGAAAATTCATAAATAACAAATCACCAATACCAAGAGAAATAATAAACAAGGAACACTAGTTTATAATATGCTACAAGTATACTAGGAATACCGATTATGTTAAATTAAAAAATGATGATTTATAATATGCAAATTAAAAAAAGAGTATATGCATGTATTTCGAGTTGGATAATGAAAAAATCACAACCAATCATTACCCTGATATTCGAGTTCGAATTTTATCCATACTACCAAATTATGTATCTAGTTCAAGTTTTATCCTACGTGATCGAGTGATTTGGATAAGTATCCAAAATTTAATTATTTTTGCCATCGGAATGGAATTTTCTCTTTCAAAACCAATTAATTATTTTGTCGGTTTTTTTCTTTCTGATGCACCCTCTGGCTCTGAGTTGGGTTTGAATTTACCCGACCCAACCCAACCCAACCCGATCCATGTTGATCCCATCTTTTGCTGGCTTGCTGCTAATGCTATGACTGTGGCCACGAAATCCTAGCTGGTTCGTGAAGCAGAAGCAGGGGGCAGGCACATCTCCAAAAGATAGGTTTCTGGAACTGGAAATCAATCTTCTCAAGCTGCGAAAACGAATTACTGACGAGGGGAAGTAATAAAAGGCTGGTTGGTAGTGTTGAAGCCCTCGAGTCGTTGAATTCTCATCTCAGCCTTTTACAGAAGAAGTGGATAAGAGGTTCTCCAACATGACTACCACAGTGTCCCTCCAGCTCTCCAATTTCCCTCCTCCTTCCCCATTACCTCCATCTTTTCCGGCAACACATTCAGCCTTCTTTCGCCGGGCTCCATCTGGGCACGCCGGATGGGCAAAAGGATTGGTAGCAAATGGCAGTGGCCGGAGGTGGAGAAACGCTGGGCCGTTGTTAGTCGGTCGAGAAGATATTGAATTGCGAGTTCCAGAAGCAGAAGAAGGCGATGATGACGAGGACTATGAAGATGACGACGATGATGATGAAGAAGAAGATGTGCCGCCATCCCCTCAGGACCTCGAATACATTCAAGAAATCAAAAGGGTCGGTGTCAAACTGTGGTTCCTGCTGTTTGGTTGATGCACCAATTGCAGTCCTCTTCCATTTAACATGGTATGGTGTTTGACGTTTGGTTGATTTGATTTGGTTTTAGTCAGGTACTGGAGCTGCTGAAGAAGAACCGAGACATGATTTTCAACGAGGTAATTCGTTGATTCGTAGTTGATTAAAATGACTTGTTGAGGCTAGTTTCTCATATCAGGACGAGGAGATATTCATCCAATCCTTTTGTTTTTAGGTTAAGCTGACTATAATGATCGAGGATCCAAGAGAAGTGGAGAGGAGGAAGATGTTCGGTATTGACGATCCTGATGCCCCTACCAGGGAAGAACTTGCTGAAGCTCTAGAAATGGTGAGAGATCACTTGCAATACTTCTACTTACTGTATTGTGGAGCCTGAACTTAAGGCTACTAAGCGATAGTAGGATTTTGCATTCTCTGGTCTGGCTGCTGAGATTTGGATTATACCTTTCGGTATATGCACTGATGTTTTACTATGAACTTGAGTGGCCTAAGGATTAAGTGTTCGATGAACACTCAGTTGGCTAATGTTAACAACTTGCTTGTAAATTAGAAAGTCTCCTCACCATGTGCTAGGAAGTAGGAAAAGAAGAGTTTGGTCATCTGGTGAAATGGATTAGGGGAAATCAAAGTTGTGCTGCCCAGTTTAGGTTAAGGTTTAGGTTTTGCAATCATATAATGATAATCTCGTCTATTGCTAGGAAATTCTTGTTCATCTTGAACACTTTAGTTGTCTCATCTACAGCTCTGCCAATCATAATCTATCTGTTGCTGCTGCTGCTAAATGTAGAAACATCCATGCATCTTACTCTCACCTGGGGTTGTTTATAATGTCAATTTTATTTCAGGTCAATGAGGGCAAGGTTCCCAGAAACCGCTTGGCACTCCGAATGCTAGCAGATGAAATGACGAATTGGCCTAACTTAGAGGTAATTAACCTGCTTTGGCTAACACAGATTTGCCTATCAGAAATGCTGTCACACAATCCGTAATAACTTAATGTAAAAGCCTCAGAACTAGAAAGATATGGTTGACGATCAAAGATTCAAACCTGGGACATTACTTAAATATTGACCGGAAAGAAATGGCATGGCCACATTCAAACTTGGGAAATTACTTATATATTTGCTGTCATCCTTCTGGTTTAGCCTGATAGCTGCATGAGTCTCTTCCTTTGGCAATTTCGTTTTCCTCATATGATCCAATCTGTGAAAAGGTGGAGGTATCAAAGAAGAGCAAGCCAACCAAATCATTGTACGCGAGGGTCACCGACACAGGTATAGATCTTAAGGAGGCTGCGAAGAGACTGAAAACCGACTGGGATTCAGCCGCCGAGATTGAAGATTCTGAAAACAGTGATGACTCAGAAGTACCTTCAGCTGTGGTTCGTCTCTCTCCATTCTTCAACATTCCCTTGTACCTTATCTTGTTCCGGAATTCAGCTTTCGATTACACCATTCCCAGCCTTCTTGTGGATGTAGTAATAAACGAAGAAACCAACTTTTTTTGTGTTACAGGGCTATGGAGCTCTATATTTGGTCACAGCATTCCCTGTCATCATCGGTGTTTCAGTGGTACTGATCCTATTTTATAATTCTCTGCAGTAAGCAATAGATTCTCTTAATCTTCCTCATTACTACATTTTGTATCTACCTTCTACATTTCTGTATATTAATACTATTCATGGAAAAGTCAATGGCTTATATGCAACCCTCATCTCTCTGTCTTCCCCACCATATACTTTATTCATGTACCCTGCTCGTGGGTGGTGTGCCTCTAACAATCTGTAAACATGTAAATCACAACTTGCTGCTCAGCTCAGGCAGACATGGCGCCCACGTCTTGTAAAGTTCCATTGTGCACTCACTGTATAAATCCAGTCCCTTACCCCCATCCAACATCTCCATCGAAGCAACTCTAAGCCTGGTAAATCTTCAACGCCATGGCTCTCGTTGCTTCTGATTTGGGGCAGCTTTCGGCTCCCAGGAAAATGTTCCACAACAGGAGTGGGATGTACGAGTACGATCTCGAGTTCGATGTCTGCGCAACCGCGGAGCGTTTCCACGACCTGCAGTTTGCCGCCGCGGCCACTGGGGAATACTTGGGTCCTTCCTGGAGTCCTCCGCAACAAATGGAGAAGCAGATTTCCGTCGACCCAGTGTCGCTCAGGCTGCCGCCGATCGTGACGGCTCCCAAAATTCCGCCGCCGTCGCCGCAGGCTAAGCCTCCGCTCATCAGCTGCAGCCTTCCCAGCTCTCCGCGGTTCGGGTACTGGCTGAAGAAGAAATTCAAGAACGAGAGCCAGGCCTCCCCCCGCCAAATCGACGGCATGGCTCGCCGGAAAGGCTCCACCGTTTACCCTCATCAGCAGCAGCACCTCCACCATCCCCGCCTCACGCTGGAACAGGAGATTCACATGCGGCGGAGCAAGTCGTGCGCCGAAGGGAGATCGAGCGCAGCCGACGAGCTCGACATGTGGTTCAAGAATCCGGACGAATCGACCACCGATTCCGACACCAATTCTTCCCCGAGGACGATCTCGCCGATGGCCAGGAAGAAGAAACACGAGGTGGATCTCGACGAAGACGAATTCAAATGTGGCGCGCTCTGCCTGTACCTCCCCGGATTCGGCGGCGGCGGTGGGAAGGCGAGGCCGGTGAGGGAGAGGAAGGCGATGGTGGTGGAATCGGGAGCGACGACGATGAGGGAGAGCATCATTTCCAGGACGGTGTCGCTGGAGAAATTCGAGTGCGGTTCGTGGGCTTCGTCGGCGGTTGTCAATGACAATGACGCAGGAGACTCGACGCGGTTTTACTACGATTTGCCGATGGAGCTGATCAAGACCGGCGGGAGCGAGACTAATTCGCCGGTGGCGTCGGCGTTTGTGTTTGAGAAGGAGCGTAGAGGGGTGTTGAGGAGCTGCTCGACGGCGAGGGCCGCGGCGGCAGCAGCGGCGCACAGGAAGTCTCACGAGTCGTCATTCAGGCACGTGAGGTTCTCTTCGTCGTCTTCGGGTTCGAATCCTTCATCTCCGGCTGCGTGCATTACGCCGCGGTTGAGGAAGGCGAGGGAGGAATTCAACGCCTTCCTGGAAGCGGAAGCCAGGAGCGCCTGAATGAATTCACAGTCAATTACTCTGGTCTTGGTTGAATGCTATCTTTCTCTCTTTTCGGTTGACATTTAGTTATGGGCTTTTTGAATGTCAAAAGTGATGGGCTTTAATGCTGTAAGGAAGGGGCCGAGAAGGTAGTGGATATGGGCTTCGCTAGGCCTTTAGCAGGGCGATCAGTCCAAACAATTTCATCTACACTTCAGAGTTTGCTTTCTCAAAATTGCAACATTTGGTATGGAGACTTCTGTGTCTCATCCAACTTAATGATACATTTTTCATGGCTGATAGTGATAATGTCGATGGATGGAAATGCATTCGACCTTAGCTTACCGATTCGTGGAGCGAGAGCGGGAGCGCAAACGAGAGTGCGAGAGCGTTTATTCTTAAAGAATTATAAGTTTAGAGCGTTGACAGAGCGTCACTATTATATTGTTTTAATTAAAATATTGTTTCAAATAATACCAAGTTTTGACAAAATACTTCCATAACATTAGAAAGATGAGACTGATTCAAAGTTCTATGATACATCCTACTTTAATATCTTTAGTTACCTAAAACTAAAAGGTGAAAGTGAAAGGAAAAAAAAAAAAAACAGCACAACCCAAAACAAGCTAAGCATAATTACAGGGGAAAAAACAAGCTAAGTATAGCCCATAAAAACTTGCGGATGATAATAACTTTCCATGGGTCGAAGTGTCTTATTGTGCCCAAATTTGGCTGCCAGTCAAAATCCTAAACGGGCAATCTACAGTAATATAGTTATTCTGCTAACTCTATAAATGGTTAGTATATAATAACACGATCGGATTTGAGGCCACATCGCCGAGTCACGATCGGAGGGAGTGGACAATCCGGCACCGTCACATGAGGGGGAAGATAGGGCCAGCTCGACAGGTTCAAGTTGAGCCATGTTTTGGTTGGGAAAAGCAGGCCCACAATTCACAAAAAAAACCTAAAATTTTAAAACCCAAACCTCTTCTCTCTCCCTCAACCCATGGTTTCCATTCTCCCCACTCTCTCCAAAAACCTTTCGTTCCTCTCCCTCTCCGTTTCTTCTTCTCCCGAAAACCATCACAAAAACTCCAGACCGACGACTGCGAGGAAGGCGACGACGGCTGCGAGGAAGGCGACAACTTGTTTGAGTCCACGGCGACGATGACGTTGAGCCTATCCCGGCGAGGAGGAAGTTTTGGAAGGTTTTCACCGTCTTTGCGGAAAGAAGACGAAGACGCCGCCGCCGGTAGTGGGTGGAAGAAGACGACTGCAAGGAGGACGCTTTGGTTCAGGATGGCGTCTTCCCCTCTCCTTATTTGTTGATTTTGTTTGTAGATACTAAGTTAGAGTTTGATGGATTTTTTTCTAGAGATCTGGGTTTCGTTTATCGATTTCAAAATTTAGTGTTCATGCGATTCGAATTTAGGGATTCTGGGTTTCGTTTCTTGATTTGTAGATTTAGGGTTTCTTGGATTTGATTTTAGGGTTCTGGATTTTGTTTCTAGGTTACCCGATTTAGGGTTTTTTATTCGATTTTAGAGGTGTTGGATTTTGTTTCTAGATTATCTGATTTAGGGTTTGTTGGATTCGATTTTAGTGGTTGTGGATTTTTTTCAGATTACCAGATTTAGAGTTTCTCGAATACGTTTTTGTGGATTCTTGATTTTCTTTCTAGATTGTCTGATTTAGGGTGTTTTGAATTCGATTTTGTGGAATATGGGTATCGTTTGTCGATTCCTTGATTTAAGGTTTCATGGATATCTAGTTTTGTCACTTCTGATACTTGTTATGGATATCAAGAGACTTATTCTGTTCATTCTGGATATTAGTTCAGTGAATGGGGATATTATTCTGTTCATTATGGATTTTAGTCTGGGATATGTACTTACCTAATTATACTCTATAACTGTGTTTCAGGAATTTTGCGTGATGGGGAGATAGAAAAATAATGCAAAGAGAAACAATGAGGGAGAAGGATCATCATAGCAGGAGCCGGATGAACAACCACCACAGGTTTCATTTCTCACTTCGTTTCTCGATTAGTTATTGTGTCCGATACCTTTTCAAGGATATCATTTATCTGGATTTGGATACACTCTTGCTTTACTACGATAATAATTGGATATATTGGCTAAAAACTATTACTCTCATGTGTCGATATTAGTTCTGTTAGGGTGGATATTATTCTGTGCGTTTTAGTTATTTGTCTGGGGAATATGGAAATTTTTCATGGATATCATTTAGCTCCGTTTGGATACACTCTTGCTTTACTACGATAATAATTGGATATATTGGCTAAAAACTATTACTCTGATGTGTCTATATCACTTCTGTTAGGGTGGATATTGTTTTGTGCGTTTTAGTTATTTGTCTGGGGATTGTGGATATTTTTCATGGATATCATTTATCTGCGTTTGGATTCACTTTTGCTTTACTACGATAATAATTGGATATATTGACTAAAAACTACTACTATGATGTGTCGATATCAGTTTTGTTATGGTGGATATTGTTCTGTGCGTTTTAGTTATTTGTCTAGTGATTATGGATATTTTTCTTAATATATAACTGTGTTTCAGGAACAACCCATGAGGAAGAGAACCAAAATGGTTGCACAGAGATCTCGTCAAGGAGAAGGATCAAGGCAGCCACCGCCTGCTCAAAAACAATAAGAAGTTCAGGAGGAAGATGAGGAAGAAGATGATGAGGGACCCTGCGGCTCATACTTCAGATTCCGCGCCTCCACCTTTTTCCTATTCAAAGTGATAAGCTACTGGAAACAAGATGCTGATACTATGAAACATGCAAGAAAGAAGTCGAGAAGGCCGGATTCAGGGGGCCTATTGGACCTTCGAATGCCGAAAATTCTCAATGTCTTCATGGACGACTTGATGACTGCTTATGACATCTCAACCATTACTTTTGTTTTCGGGGAAGTAGACTCGAAGAAGGTGTTCGACTTCATACCTAAGGATGTGGCACGTGAGTACGACCTTCCTCTAGGTGGGGCTATGGTTGATCTAAATCCAATTGAGGGGGGATGCTTGACAGTTTCGGCAAGGATATCGACATGATTCCTAATAGGAGCCTGAATGTTCCTATCAAGGACCTGCGAGAGTTGGCCATTCCAACAGAAGGTCCTAGACCACCTGTAGCAATGGTTGTCAAGTAATTCTTGTTGCTAGCGACTGGTTCCTTGCTCGTGCCAACATTTGCTCGGAGGTGCAAGCTGGACTTTGCCCCATACATAGGTTGGAGTTTTGAGGATGTTAGGGTGTATGATTGGTGTACCTATATTGTCCTTGAACTTAAGGTAGAGTTGACCTGTAGCAAGACGAAAGAACATGCTGCAAGGGCGGATGGCAAGCCGTGAGTGTGGGTTCTCGGAGATTGCTACTTCTTGACAGTAAGTCCTAACCTTTTCCGATACTTGTTGGTTCAATTGCATGAAAACTATTGAATTTCATATTTGGATATCATCTAACTCAGCTTGGATACTGTTAGTTTTAATCACGATATTTGTTGGTTAAATTACAAGACATATGCTTAGAATATCTTTTTTATAATGGTAATGGATTGAATTAAAAAGAAGCAAGAAAGAACAAAGGTACATAGTACATGAAGTAATGCCAACAAGCTGTCAGACAACCAACGAAAGGCACACACAAAGCAAACGCAATAAGTGGACCAGACCGCTCCAGTGCGACCCAAAGACAAGAGACTGACAGAACAGAGTCTCGGAATAGAGACCCAAGACCACCCGCTAGACGAACCAAGACTTTCCTATGAAAAAATGAAAACAAACGAACCAACAACAATCAAACATAAAAGAGAACAATCACACAGCGGGGCAGGAGTACAAAAGACCCGGGGTCACTCTACAAAATCCAACTGGGGGTCTCCAGAATTTCTAATGTTGGGAAGGGGGCACACCGCTGCATACGGAGGAGCCAATCCTCGCGTATTTGGTCTGTCATTAGTCCACAAGCGTTCTCCCAGTTTAGAAGAGCCATGCAAACGTTGTGGAAAATGACCTGCCACATTTTTTGTTTATCATGAAAAGTTCTACCCTTTAATAACATCTATTTAATGTGCAAAAAATGGACAAACAACCTCAATCATTTGTTGAAGAGCTTGCCAAATGATGCAACTGTAGGTGCACTTCCAAAATAAATGATTAGCACTCTCTTCTGCCGAATAACACATGGAACACCTGCTCGCAAGGCTCCAACCGCACTTTTTCATATTATCATGAGTGAGAACCTTGTCGTGCGCAATCATCTAAAGGAAGGCTTGAATTTTCGTAGGAACGCTCGGAATCCAGACCACTTTGTGAGGGAAATCAGCAACGCCATGGAATCTGTCAAAATTAAGTGCAGTATACATGGACTTCACCGTGTAATTGCCACTCGAGCAAGGGGTCCAAACTGGTTTAGCGGGTCCTGCGGAGATCACACCACACCGTAACAAGGAAAGAACATGCAAAAGACTTAACCTTTCTCTCTCATCCCCACCCCTCAGAGAAATAGAAAGATTAAATCCCACCCCACACTCCCAGAATCAAAGGATATTAAATCGGACACCCAAGTATCCTGTCGTGAAGAAGCAACATCAACTCTAGGAAATGCCTCTCTCAGAACAATCTTCGACATCCAGTAGTCATTCCAGAATGACAACCAAGTAATACGCCCTAGATGGGTGTGTGATCAGAGAAACGCAGCTTAGCCTCAATCACAGGATTGGATTTAACCTGGAAAAGAAAGAACATAAAACAGGGTTCTCGTGTTCAGTTTGTGATGGAACTTTCGTGCAGCTTTCACGAGGGGAAATAAGCTCGAGAAGTATAAGTCGAAGCTTGGCCACACTCAATGTGACTAATTGAACGATACAAGCACAAGATCGAGCCTAGAAAACCCTAGGACGATCTCCAGAATCCACAAGCACGAAGCTATGGCGATAATGTAACACCCTCTCCCTCTTAAATGATTTAAAACGTATGTTTGTAACTTGGTGATGTAGATACCGATTAGGTGTAGAAGTAACTCGGAATTTCAACGAAGAATTTCATCACTATATGGTAGAGAATTCTAAAATTTGTGATTGGGGTACTGTATAAGAATTATGGAATCACCAACACATGATAGGGATTGTATATCCATTTCAAAAGAATGATAATTACCACTTAAGTCGTGATGTCTCCGGTT